CAAACTTTAGCCTAAATAAATCTAAGAAATAATTCCAGTAGATTATACCTCTTCTGGACTTTTAGAAAGAAACGTCAATAGTAACTCTGTGTTTTAAAATGTTCTGAGAGATCTCACGTTAAGAGGACATCAGGCTCAATGCAATGCTGAAGTAGCGATTCAACTAATCCTTAATTTTAACTCTACTTCTCTTCAAATCCTATCCAGGAAACAGCCCCCTTTGTAAACTCCAAAAGGATTACTTGGCTACAAAATGGTTACATGAGATTGTCAAGCCATCACTGCGGCCCAAAGTCTAATGCCGCTTCCAGGATGCCCGATTTGGACTCTCTGCTCTCTCCTTTTCTACCAATGTGTTTCTACTCTGCGTCATTCTTGTTCTTTTGAGGCCAAGAAGAAGCAAGGGAACAAACCCAATCGTGCAATCAATTTAATTCCAATTCATTTTTCACTTTGGAACCAGGGACCATAACCTCAAACCAGTGCAAGCAGTTCAATCCAAATGTAGAAGTAAGACTGATGAAAGAAAATTAAGGGCATCTGATTGGGAAGCTGTATCTCTGATCAGGGGACTAGCCAGCATTCATGTTAAAACTCAACTGTTTCTGTATGATAGCTCTATGACCTATATCCTTTCCAAAATACATGAATGAGATCAGAAAGGATTTTCATTCTTCCTCAACTCATCTCCTCTTGAGCAAACCTGTTGTATTGGACCAAAGAGCAGGAATAATCTTGGAAGAGCCAAATCAATTTCCACAGGATTTTTTTCAACTATATGCTTGATCACAAACAATTGCTTACTTTTTCGCAAAATAAAAGTTATTTAAATGTAAATAGAAGAAAGTGGAACTTATCTCACAATGACTAATGGTTTAAAGCTCGAATTCTTTTCAGTTGATTTTTTACTGCGTGCTCAGTGTGTGGGCTCTGTTGTTTTTGTACTGTTCCACAGTAACCTAGTCTTAAAAATTAATATTTTAAAACATTTTTGCATTCTTATTTTTCTTTTTCTGTTAAGACTATCCATGATTCATGTCTAGAAGTTTTATTATGTAGCTATCATGTTTAAGAAATACGTAAAACCAAAATCAGAAATCTCAGGTGCAAATCCAATTTTAAAATTTAGATCTTAAACAAAAAAACAAAACCCCAAAATAAAGGGCTTTAGAGAACTTTTAAGGACTTCAGAGTCCACAACACTGAAGCGTGTCTGCCCATACATTCCATGAAAAACACGCTACAAGATAATTGCTTCAAAGAGGCATTCTTCCAAACCTTATTTCATGTACTAAAAACTCTGATTTTAAGCTTTTGTCTGATGATAGGCTGTCCCTTTTAATACTAAGCATCACAGCTTAAATGAGGTTAATGGATTCAAATTTGTCTTTTAGGGTCTATATCAATAATGCTCATTCCGCTTTGTCATATAAAAAGTTACTGCTATGTACTGAATTATCTTTAACTCACCAGAATACTGAGACAGTGCTTCACTTGTTCTGTAATTTATAGATCTGATTGCTTCAAGTTTGCTTTCAGGCCTCTCCTAGATTCATGGGCTGAGTACTTTCCTCAGTACATCACTTCTATTCTGTCAGTCATTGTGCTGGCTCCACGTTAAGAAACATATTGACTAGAGAATTGACCTTTTGACCTGTAACTCACTGAATGGCCTTGCTCCCTTCTATTGAATAGATCTGCAGCAAGCTACTCTTTGAGGTCAGTTGATTCTGATCTTCTAACCATTTTTAAACATCATTTGGAGGTCACAGAGAGACAGGACCTCTGCTTATTTGTCTCTCAGCCTTGCCACAGACAGCAAGGGATAGCAATATGGATTTCAAATGTTATTTCAAAAAGGGAACTATGATATTTATTGGTTGTGGGGTAAGTTTGCGAGGTTAATTTACAGAAGAGAGACCGTAACAGCACAAAGCTAAGCACAGAAAAATGATCCTTTTTTGGAATCGCAGGAAGTTACTGGCAAATTTGCACATAACATAATACACAAACAGCCACTAAACAGCAAGCGCTAAGTTGAATATAAACGTTTGTAATCTTTTTGAACAATGATTTCTGTCTCTGAAATATGGAAACATATTTTAATTTTGTTTAAAAAAAATTCCAACATTCTAAAGTTATGGGTTTTTTTTTAAACTAGACTACTGTCTTTAAACTTTGCTTTAAAGACAGCAAAATAAAGTATACTTCTAACTTATTTTCTTTTCCACACTTAAACTCTAAAGAGGAAGACCCCACTAGCATGGAAATTGTAACAAAAAAATCACCACAGAAATTGTTAGGTCACACAGTTTCTGCATGCTAACTCCCACTGGACCTAGAGGCCTGTCAGCCTGTGTTCTACTCCGGAGTTTGAGTTTGCCATTGGACAGATGTGCCCACTCACTGTTTACGAAATTAGCTTAATCACTTTACCCTCCCAGTTCCATTATTTTAGAAAATAAGGTAATTTTAGCTATCCTCCATTTTAACAGAGAGAGAGTAGGAGAAAACACACTCCATAGGCATTTGGTAGCAATAATAGAGGCTGAGGTTATATATGAATTGTCTGAGGTCAATATAGGATTGCCGAATTAAAATATAGCATCTCCAACAGCAGTAAAGAGGATACAGAGCAACATATACCACTTTGTTGTCATACTTAGTCAATGGGGGTATAAATCTTGTTAGAGCTGGTCAACAGTCATACAGAGCTTCCAAAAATACTGTTTTGATAAATACGTAATATATTCAGCTTGTCAGCCTGTTACAAAGACAGCTTCCTAATTTGTAGAAAAGGCATCACAAAATCATAAAGTCTAGCATAGGGAGGGGACGCACTCAGAGTAGAATGAAGCAACTTTCATGTCAAAAAATTTACCTGCAAATGAAAATGGCCATGAAAACGCCCAGTTCTGCATGCTGGAAGTTTGTGCGAGGATATTGTCTAGTGAGGCCCTTAACTACAGCGTAAAGAGCCCAGGTGCACAACAGGTTATCAAGGCTATGAAGGCAGACAGCATTCCACTGTCAACAATTCTAGAAGGTTTATTCAGTCATATGGCATATGCAGAGCTGCTAATACAAAAAAAATTTTCTGTAGTGTTGGCAAGACCTTATTCCCTCTTCTCACGCACCGCTAGCCACACAGCATACATGTTCCACATGTACAGTGGAAACTGCATCTGGATAACTACTGTTTATTTGATGGATAGAAATCCCATTAAACCATCTGACTTGCTGTGTGAACTAACATAGCACACGTTACCTTAAAATACACTTATAAATAACCATGACATGCACACACATTGCATTTTTAAGCTCTGTCAGGACGGCACGACCGTGCAGCAGACCTGGGGCCACTTGCACTGTTTCTGGGACCTGTGATTGGGGAATTTAACTCCCTTCACACTCACTTTATTATCAAACGTATGTAAACAGCTCTCTGTTTTCTTAGGCATACACAAATGAAAGTTTAATTCATATCTTGCCAGCACAAGCAGGTACTAGAAATCCTTTCCTCCTAGCTCTTCTAAATTAGAGTAGGCACTTTTTAATGTTTTACAGCAGTATTTCAGTGGGAAAAAAAAAATTTACTGAGAAAAAAATTCTGCGCAAAACGTCTCAACAATTACTCACACTTTGTATGCTATTAGCTAGGAGTTACTTAAGCTGGAATATCTATTGATGTTTTTGGTATTTATTAAGTTATATTGCCACTTGAAATACCTGTCCAGTTTATTTTTGATCTGTCAATGAATTTAACACCCATAAAAACAAAATACTAGTAGCACAATCTTCATCCATTGACACGAGAAGCAAATCAGAAAACCACCCCACAACCAGGCTAAGTCAAAAACAACTGATCAAAGTCAGTTCTATGTCTTATGAAAAACAGCAGCACATCTTGTTGTCATAAAAACACACAAAGAACAAGACAAAACAAGTAATCTGAGTTATGTTATTGGGAGTGGGTAGCAGATCGTTTTGCCTCTAAATAAATACCCTTCTTCTCAGATTCAGTAGGCTGGTAAACACCATAAAGTGAGATTATGTACTAATTGATAAAAGTGTCTAAAAATATGGCTGTTTTAAAAAGTCATCATAAGTTTTTAAACAGTCATTATAACTTTTAATCTATATGTTTTAGAAAGCTGAAAAGTTAAATTTGAATCAATCATTTAAAGCTGAGGACTTCTGAAGCTTTGAAGAAATCAGATACAGTTTAGTGGTTCAACCTTCAACAGAACTGAGTTGTTTGGCAACATCTATTTCTTCATCACTGATGTAGACAAACAAAAATTGAAAGAAAAGGAGAAATACTGCTTATAGCTAATCATATTTAAGTGACATTAAAAGGATGCCCCTTTTTTCCCCCGAAATTAATTTTTTTCCATGAGAAAAAACATACTTCAAATTTGTATTAACTAAACAAGAAAAAGATATCATAAGAGCATGTAAAATATGTAAGGATCAGGAGGTTTGTTTCACCGCATTTCACAAAAAAACTTGCATTTCATGGCTAGTTTTATGCTTTAGCAGCGTTAGACAGAGAGCAACAACCTTAATGCTATACACCTGCTATATCCACTTCAACGAGTAAGACAGGAGAGTTAGCGTCATAGAACCACAACTCATGACGGTACGAGAAAGCTAGATCTTCCCAAGAAAGGTAATACAAAGGGCCAGCCTCTTAAACCATACCTCTACACTTAAATTGGCATTATTTAGATTAGCCTTTAGGTCCCCTAATTTACCCTGCAGGCTATTTTACCCTTCCCTCACTATCACCCCAACCAGGAGAGCGATAAGGGAACCTTAAGCTCCCCAAAGCCAGTATCAGGTCTGTGAAGAGAGAGGATGGCAGTGTTCATGCTGCAAGTTCTTTCTTCTTTTAATATATGAATTGTTAATGCAGAATACGCATAGCTAAAAACTATTTATCTTAAACAGTTGTAAACAGTTAGAGTAGCAGCATAGATAACTCTAAAAATGCTTACCTCATGTGGGTTGGTGTAGCCCAAAAGCAGATTTGCTGCTTTAATGTCACCGTGAACGTATTCATTTTCATGTATATATTCCAAAGCGTCCAACTAGGGAAGAAGAGAAGGGAAGTATCATCATCATCTCCACTCCTCTCTTCACCCTACCACCAAATATTCCTCACTCATACACTGAGCTCAGTGGCTGCACAGCCTGTGAGATGACAAATTTGTTTTGAGATAAAGTGCAAGGACTGAAGTCTCCCTCTCGGTTCCCCTCCTGGAAGGTTTACTCTGCGTTGCATCTTTATTCATCATACCAGATGCAGCCAGGTAGCCAGTGGCAAAGCTCTGCTCATTCCCCTCTCTGTTCTGTCCACGTGTTGTGTTCCCACCAGGCACGTAGCTAATAGCAAACCATAAACAAGCCATACTTAGCCATGAGTATCCCTGTCTAAATACCTGAGAGTACCAGCTTCTAAGGTCACAAACGAAGAGTAAATCAAGCACTTTACAAAGACCGGAGAACTGTGAGAACACCAACTCTTCAAAGGAAGAAACATACACAGTCAGAGCTAAAGGTTTATAATACATTTGATCCTGCCAATTGTTGCATGGCCTGCACCTCAGTTTCCTATTTCCCCTCCTCCTCATCCTTCTTCAGCTCCTCATTGAGGGATGATAACTCTGTAATTGTTACAAAAAAGCATGCTCGTACTTTGCAGTTTGTACAAAGGACAGTCTAATCCTGGCTGCTGGAGAGTTCAAAGATGGCCAAGAAGTGTTACAAATTTGTTTAATTACATAGCTACACAAGCCCTTTATGGTTTTATTTTTTTATTGAGGTTGGGATCTCTGAAGTCCCTAGTCTAACCCCTGCTTAATGCAGGGCTAAATTCAAAGTTAGATCAGGTTGCACAAGATGTTGAACAACCAAGTTTTAAAAAAAGCCTCTGAGGTTGGCATTCCATAGTGTCTCTGGGCAACCCGTTCCAGTACTAAACCATACTTTCTGTGAAAACTTTTTTCACTAGGCTCAATTGTAATTCCCTTTCTTGCAACTTGTGACCATTGTCCCTACTTCATTTGCTGTGCATCTCTATTCAGTAATAGCAATCTTTCACAACACAAATGATATTACAAAGGAAAGCATATATGATTATCCATTAGCATCTGCTACTCTATGCACATTTAAAAACAAAACTGACACTTGCAAGTAGCCTAATCCTAGCCTTGACAATCAGTGTGTTCAGCAAACACACTAACTTCACAGCTGCACACTTGACAGCACTGTGATCAAAATTCTCAAGCGCCTTATGCAAACACTGGAGGGGAAAAAATGCATACCACTTAAATATATATTTAATTCTCAACTCAAGAATAACTAAAATAACTTTATCATTTCAGAAAGAGGATTTCATTAGCTGAATTCAACGAGTTAAAAACATAGCCATTTCCTCCCCCTCTCTCTACATACCATTCGTGCCCCAAGTTGCAGAACAGTCTCCTTCTTAAACCTACTCCCAGAATCTTCAAAGATTCTCTGAAGGTCTTCCCCCAGTCTCTCCATGACCATGAATCTATAGCTATCAGGAAACATACAAAAGGGAGGAATCCTTTAAGATGGGAACGCAGGTTCGCCTCAGAAGATTGAAAAGACAATTGTGTTGTTGAAAATGAATCTTCTGTCAGTTTCATGCTGGATTACAAACATTTCCATTATTACCTTTTGCCCTTGTATTCAACCAAGCCTGATCCCCAAAACACTGGAATTCCTAAACATTTTATTTTTTTGAGAGTCATCCATTTTCTTACTGTAATAATAATAAAAAGACAAGATTGTGTTAAGGGTAGCAAAAAAATTTTTTTTAGTATTTTTTATTACTGTTTTTAGCGGTCAAGCCAAGACTTCACTACAATGAAACAAATGTGATTTGATAGACTACTTTAGCAGATAATTCAGATGATTAAAAAAAAAAAAGTGAAATTAAGTCCTCTATATTCTCTAAAACAAGAAGTAAAGTTTTCTGCTCCAGCAATGTGACACTTTGCACCCTCAGAAGGCAACAGATACACGATTATCAGTAGCTGAAGAAACAATTTATTTAAAAGCTCTATTTTATTCAAGATGGTAAAGTTAAACATAGTACATCAATACAGCAGGCTTCAAACTATCAGCGGTTCTCAGGTCTACCAACAATCTAAGTCATCTAAAGTCTTTAGGACAGCTCCCATGAATAAATCACACCCACGCTTACTTAAGTGTCTGCAGAATCAACTGCCTCAGTTACTACTAAATTCTATGATGATTAAATGCATTCCTAACTTTGTTCTTGGGAACAGTTACTAACAGAAGTAACTTCACCCATTAGTCAATGCACTACCTCCTTTCTAAGACTGGCCTCTCTTTGGAGTCAATATATTGTTCTGCACCCTGAAGTGCGCGCATCACCATAAATCACTTGGCGTACTTCTGTTCTCACTTCTGATCAGAAAGACCAAGGGCTACACCCAAGTAAAGAAACCTACAGCAACCTAAAATTATTATAGCACCAACTAGAATCAGTTCAGCATTTATGAAATGAGTTGGTTATAAAGCTCTGAAGTATCAGATCTCATCAGAGGAAAGAATAAATAAAAAAAATAAACAAAAAACTACCAAACTTGGCTATAAAACTAACTGAAATCAAGGTTTTATTTTCTGATACATTACTTACTATTCTCTTGTTTTGCAGCCCTCTGGTAAAATTTCAGTTCAGAGAACAAGGGGCCATTTTCAAGGTATTCCTATTGAGAAATAAGTAAACTTAGTATCAGAAAGTGCATTAGAAAGAAAATAATTCCTAAAAAATTTATGCAAAATTC